TGTACACATGCATAGCACAACATACACTCACACACACGCGCACGTGTCACACACACAACACACACATGCATGCACTACACACACACACACACGGACGTACACCCACACACAACACACACAACACACACAACACAACACACACACACGACCCATACACACCCACAAGGCACGGCCCGCAAGCCTAGTTACCAACAACCGGGCTTTAAACCCCAAATAAAAGGAAAAGGCCCTAAGGCCTAATTTTGGAAAGGTTTAGGGGTTAAACAAAAGCAGGCTTAAGGCCTGTGGCCTTTGAGAACGGCCTAAAGGCCTGGTGCTCATCAGAGAAGGACACCGGAGCTTCTACAGCTCCAGCCAACTACAAACATACACCCTAAGCTCCAATTTATGCATCAAATTTAAGAGAAAAGAGAGGGGAGCGAGGTTATACCCTTGGTTTACCATGGAACGGCCGGTGGTGTTCGAAATTCGGGTTTGGGTGCCCGCGAGTTCGCTGGGATTTCCTAGGCTCCGTCGAGCCTCACACGCTGAGAGAGAAAAGGACGAGAGCAGTTGTAAGTGTGAAATCACGGTTCAAGAGAAAGATGGAGGGATGATAAGGTTTTCAAGTGACAGAGGGATAGATAGTACAGAGATAGAGAGAGAAGTCCCAAGGCTTACCTATCGTCGAAACCACAAGGAACTCGCCGGAGATCATTTTCTCTGCTTTCACCAATCTCGCTGCAATGGAAGAGAGACCAAAGTAATGCTTGATGATGATGATGTTCTCGAGTAGAGTAGTTGCAGGTGTGGGTGCTCTCGGGTATGGGTCGAAAGGTGTGAGATCGGGGAGTGAGGAAGAGAAGATTTCGAGAGAGAGAGAGAAAGAAAGGGGAGAACACAGGGAAGGGCAGAGAGGAGAGAGACCGAGGGACAAAATAAAAGGGGTGGGCCCTTTGGCTCACCAATTTAGGTCCAAACAATTATTTTAAAATAAATGGGGTTGGGGAGTTTCAATTATCGTCAATATATCGCGATATTATTGATAATATCACGATATTTTAGGACTAGTGCGAATCAGAGAAGAACGCCAGAGCTTCTACAGCTCCGGCAGACTGTAAAAGAGCACTCTAGACTCCGATCTAGGTATCAAAATGAAACACAAGACGAGAGGAATGTTTATATTCCTTCCATTTGCCGTGAAACAGTCGAAGGTGTTTGAAAAGTTCCTCAACACTCACGGCCTCACCAGAGCTGGGTGTGCCTTCCCCAGGTCGATCTCGTTCTAAAACCTTGTTAAAAAAAACAAGATAAAACTTAGTATATCTCAACCACACAACATCCAAGATGAATTGACGCAACCTGGGGCTTACCTAATCGGAGAAGGATCAAGAGAACTCGTCGAAAAGTTCCTGGGTTCCACTGTCCTAGCTGCACCGAAAGAAATGGAGAGAAAGATGCGGTTTAGATGGTGATAATGATGTCGTTGACAAAGTACTACGAAGGGTGTGCGGTGACTGGGTGTGTGTATGTGTTCGACAGGAAGATGAGAGAACACAGAGAAACTCGGGGAAAGAGGAAAAGGAAGAGAGTATGAGGGAAGGAAAGAGAAGAGAGAGAGAGATAGGCTTGGACCCGGGGAAACAAACAAAGGTGGGCCCCATGGCACACCTTTAAGACTCAAAAACAATTTTAAAAGTAAAATAAACTCAAATTTAGTGAAAATACAATTTAAATTGAGGGTGGGTGTAACAATCTACCATGCAATGTATAAAGTGTAAAATATATAATGAATTAATACAATTCATTATATATGCAATGTACAAGGTTCCTATGAGGTTCAAAATATTGTACTAATTCATTATATATAAATGATTATGGTGTGTTTAAACTTCTTTCATTAATTCCTACATATTTTCTACACTCACAATGTTTGCCAGCTCGCTATATAATCAACTTAAATCAATTAAATTCATCATGCAATGCATTTCCTTTCAATTTTTTGTGATAAACTAATAGATAATTGACTAAATAAACATCCTGCAAAGTTTCAATAAAAATTTCCAAGTTTTTCTTACAATTTCCGTGGTTTTTATTCAATTTTTATCGATATCGATAATATCCCGATATTTCCATCGAAATTTTCATGTTTTTGGACTACCGATATTTCCGATATCATCGATATTTTAAACCTTGGTTGGAAGGACCATTGCTACAATTAGGTTAAAGTTAAGGGACCATTTCTCCAGTTGAATTAAAGTTGAGGGACCAAGGGTAATGGATTTTTAGTTGAGGGACCATAGTTGCACGTTTTGATGAGTTGAGGGACCAATGGTAATGGATTTTTAGTTGAAGGACCATTGCTCCAATTGAATTAAAGTTCAGGGACTATAGCTACAATTTACTCTTTCTAAAATCTATAGTTTAGTAACACAACTTCAAACGTCCGTAACTATACCATTATAATCCGGACTTGCAAACAGTTTTCGCCTATGCGTTCATGGTTTCGAGATCTATTCGAAAATATAAAATGTGACATCCAAAGGTCTACGGATTTTAAATAATTAATTTCCAAACTTCGTAACTAGTTTAATTAAAATCTAAATTCAAACAAATTAAAATAAATTCTCGAGAAATAATATAAAATCTCAATAATACAAATACACATATTATAACAGTGAAATCCAAGAACGGGATTTCACATAACTGGTTCGGCAGCTCCCTGCCAACACTCTGCATCACACTCGGCAGCCCGTTGCTGAGAAGGCCCAGCTGGTTCAGTGCTCAACGGTTGCATGATACTCTAATTCTTGGCAGTGTCTTGCCGAGAGCCACTGTCTCCATTCTCGACAGTGCCTTGCCATTAGCTACCGAACCCACAAAAAGTGCACTTCAAATCATCTTTGTTTTCCTGAGTGAATGGGCAAGAATTGGCTGATGGTGATGGATTAAAGGGTCGGCTACCCGAAGGTGGCCGTGACACCATAGCCACAGGAGGGGCTCCTCCTTGGTTCCTAACACCACTACTTCTCATCATGGTTGCATGGCGTTGTGCTTCCTGCCTAAGAACTGAGAATGCCCCCTCCACAGATGGTAGAGGTTAATTCTCAAAATATCACTACGCACTTTGTCAAAAATATCTTCAACGCCACTACTTCTCATCTGATACCAAATTCAATTTACGGCTTAATTTCCATGTATTCCATATTCTGAATATAAAAACATAATACAATCTTTGTTCCCCAAGGAAACAATAAAGAACAAAAACAAACCTTTCCTAATAAAGAACTCTAATAATTACACAATATTTACATTCCCTTTTTCTACCTATTGATTCACGCCAATAATATTGATGTGAGCAAAGATTGTACCTACAAACAAGATTAACAAAAGTACAGGTTTCAAACTCAAAAAAGTGGACACGACACGCATACTTTTTTGTGAGTAAATGTTAAGAGAAAATTCATTATAAAAAACTGAAAGCCACGAATTTTCTTGCCCGATTTAGGGGTTGAAATGTTTGTTGGACTAGCGATAGTTAGGAAATTACATGTCAATGCTCACGGAAGTAAATTTCAACATGTCAATGCTCACGGAAGTAAATTTCAACATGTCAATGCTCACGGAAGTAAATTTCAACAGAGGAGAATTTTATGAGGGAACTTCACCGAGAAACATAGAAGAAACTAGAGAACCAATATTTCCACAAATATGAAGTTGAAAGAAAAGAGGGTTCACGTGTTAAGATAACAGTTAGGAAACAAAAAGTAGAGAAATTTCGTGAAAATTTAGGGATATATAATACCCTCCAGGTCCATAATAATCCGACCTAGAAATACATATTTTAAAGTCTACGAATGAAACTTGTCTTTTCTTTCTCATATGTAAGTACTAGAAAGCATTATTTTCTGATATACGACCATAGCAGGATTTCCCAAAATCAGTGATGAAGATTATACGCACAACTGATGGGTTATAGTACCAATACCTTATTTTCTCCCCTTTTTTCAACACAATCTAAAAAAGACTTGTCCATCAAAATGCATCTGTTCGAGACATCTAACATGCAAAAGTTTTGGTTTCATGCATCATTTGTATCATCTATCTAATAGAGATGTGACCCACATGTTTGGTGGGTCTTACCTTTATTAGAAAGATGATACAAATAAATGATAAATATAGCATTACTCTTTTTTGTACCTTTTTTTTCTGATGTGTTTGTAATGCAGGTTTTGCCATATTTTTTTATTTTTGGAACAACCGATATTATCTACACTAAGGGGAGGGGATGAGCTAAGCCTCATAATGTAGTTCAAATTCATCTTTGGCAAGAATCGAACCTAAGATTTCTCACTTACAAGTGAAGAGGAATACCACTAAACCGTAGTATTAAGTGGCTGAACTTTTACAATGGGCAATATTAGATTTATTGAATATTTCACCAAATTGCGTTGCTCACTTTACAAATACAATTTTCATATATCTTGATGCGAAAAGAACAAATGAAAACATCCAATTCCTTTAATTTCAAATAACCTGAAACTTGTCTCGATAAAACATTAAATCTCAAACGAAACCCTATTTGCAAATTTCCTTGTTGATACCAGAACTCAATTCACAACATGAATCCTAAAAAGTCTATCTGGAAGTCAAGAGTGAATTGTGAATTGCTGGGTCTTCTGAAATTTCCTTGTTGATACCAGAACTCAATTCACAACATGAATCCTAAAAAGTCTATCTGGAAGTCAAGAGTGAATTGTTGGGTCTTCTGAAATTTCCTTGTTGATACCAGAACTCAATTCACAACATGAATCCTAAAAAGTCTATCTGGAAGTTAAGAGTGAACTGTTGGGTCTTCTGATTAAAGTGACATTAAAGTTTCTGGTCAGCCCGACTAACACAACGTACACGTACTGGCATTGAAATAATTCATTCCACATATCATCTTGTTTACAAAACACTTACCTAATTCCTCTCCCAAACAAAAGTTATCTTTTCATTTTTCAGTATTCCTGCAAGCCATGGGGAACATGTTCTCAGTCTCCATACCTTGCGATCACACGGCTAACTTCTGCTGCTGGGGTTTCCTTAGTCAACAAGCAAACTACATCGGCAAGCTCGGAGTAAACCTTGAAGCTCTGGATCGATCATCGCAAGAACTGATCGCTTTAAAGAATGATCTCGTGAGAAGGGTTGAGGTTTCCGAGCTTCAGACATCCATGATGCGCTTGGACCAGGTACAACTGTGGATTAAAAAGGCGGAAACTCTTGAGACACGAGTCAGAGAAGTTAAAAATTGTGCAGATCGAGAAATTCAGAAATCATGTAGCGGAGTTTACTGCTCCAAGAACTACTTTCCCAGCTACAAGTACGGAAAAAAAGTGTTTAAAATGTTGGTGGAAGTGGATGCCTTGAAAAGCAAGGGAAGCTTTGAAGAGGTGGTAACAGAAAGCTTACCGGTAGGTGTAGTCTATGAAATGCCTACTGAACCAACAGTGGGGATGGAGTCGATGTTTGAACAGGTCTGGAGACATGTTGAAGATGAACAGGTGGGAACAATCGGGTTATATGGAATGGGAGGGGTGGGCAAGACCACCCTCCTTACCAAAATCCATAACGATTTGGCCTTTAGTACTTCTTACCATTTTGATCTTGTGCTTTGGATCGTGGTCTCAAAAGACCACAAACTTGAAATCCTCCAAGATAAGATTGGTGAAAAGCTTGGGATTGTTAATGACAAATGGAAGCACAAAGAGCCGCATGAAAAAGCTCAACACATCTTCAAGTTCTTGAGTGAGAAGATATTTGTGCTATTGTTGGATGATTTATGGGAGCCGATTGAAATGATTAAAGTTGGGATTCCTAATCCAGCGATTCCTGATACAGCTGACAATAAGAAGTCGAAGAAGTCGAAGATAATATTCACGACTCGCTTGGAGCATATATGTAGTTGTATGGATGCTCAAATAAAGATTAAAGTCAGGTGTCTAATGCCGAACCAAGCATGGACCTTGTTTCAGGAGAAGGTGGGCAAAGAAACTCTTCAAAGTCATCCAGATATCCCCGCACTTGCGCAAGTCGTGGCAAATGAGTGTGACGGTTTGCCACTTGCATCGATTACAGTTGGTCAAGCCATGACGTGCAAGAAAACACCCCACGAATGGAATCATGCAATTCGGGTTCTAAAGGAATCTGCCTCAGAGTTTTCCACTATGGGAGACAAGGTATTTCCTCTTTTAAAATTTAGTTACGATAATCTGCCCAGTGAGACAATCAAATCATGCTTCTTATATTGTGCTCTATTTCCGGAAGATTTCCGGATGAGTAAAGATGATTTATTATATTTTTGGATGTGTGAGGACATGTTTGAAGAGTATGTTAACGTAGATGTAGCGAAAAATGAGACTTACCATATCATAGGAACGCTCCTTTCTGCATGTTTGTTGGAAGAAGAAGGAAATTTTGTAAAAATGCATGACGTAATTCGTGACATGGCATTGTGGTTAGCTTGTGACTGCGGGAAAGAAAACGAGAGTATCCTCGTGCATGCAGGTCTCCAGGGAACACCACATGTGAAGAAATGGAAGAACGCTAAAAGGGTATCATTGGTTGGTAGTCATTTTAAAAGCCTAGTTGAAACACCAAAATCTCCAAATCTGTTGACCTTATTTCTTAGAGGTGGAAAAGGTCCTTTGAATATGATTGCTGATGGCTTTTTCGATCATATGCCTACTCTGCGAGTTCTGGATTTGTCTGAAAATCTGAACATAACCAAATTGCCATCTGGCATTTCCAACCTGATTTCGTTACAACACCTAAATTTGTCAAGAACTGGTGTAAGAGAGCTGCCAATTGAATTAAAGGCTTGTGTGAGGCTAAAATATTTGGATTTGGAGCATACGGATCAGCTTGATTTTGTACCACAAAATATAATATCAAGTTTTCCAATGCTAAAAGTTTTGAGGATGCTAGCATGTAGTTCGTCAGATAGAATTCTTGTTGACGGTGAAGGAGCCCTGATGGAGGAAATGCAGGATTTGGAATACCTTGACGTTTTGACTTTGAGCGTACGGAGTAGCTCTTTTTTGCAAAAACTGATCGGATTCTACAAATTGGTGACCCGCATTCGGACTCTACAGCTCTCGGATGGCAAGAACGAAGCAAGCTTTCTAGACATATCGTCTTTGGTGGATATGAAACATCTTGATACCCTTTATATTCGGGATACTCCTAATTGGAAACAATTGGAAGTTGATTGGGCAGGACGAGCACCTAACGATCCCTGGGATTTAATGATGATAAAACAAAATTGCTTCCTTTGCCTTCAGTTCATAGAAGTATCACGATGCCCAAATCTCACGGACATGACTTGGCTCATTTTTGCTCCGAATCTCAGCCATTTACGTGTAGATGCCTGCAATGATATTGAGAAAATAATCGATTTGGAAAGACTGGGTGGAGTTGGAAATGTGGTACAAGAACTGAACCCTTTTGGAAAACTTACCATTCTGATTTTGAGTATGCTTCCACGGCTGAGTAGCATACATGATAGTCCCCTGCCCTTTCCATACCTGAAAGAAATCAAGGTAGTTGCATGTCCAGTGCTGAGAAAGCTTCCACTCAACTCCGCAAGTGCTGAGGGGAGCAATATTGTAATCAGAGGACATGAAGCATGGTGGTCTTTCTTAGAGTGGGAGGACGAAGATGCTCAAAATGTTTTTCTTCCCTGCTTCAGACATGGTTAATTATGTGAGAAAGCGAGAGGGCCTTACGTAAGAACAAGGAGGACGATTCTACTTGTATACAGGTGCATGCCATAATATATTCCATATTGTGCTGTTGTTTGGATATTCAAAACCTCGAAATTCCATTCTCTGTGATTCTTTTACTTCACTCTACGCTCCTATATATTTTGAGCTTTGTGTATATTGTTATTGTTGAACCTCACATTGGGCTCTAAGAAAATCATGTATCCTACTACTTTTATACAATTCACAGCAGACTCTCTGGTCACCATTGTTGGCCAAGTGACGTAGAATGCTTCAGTCCTCTTTAAGTGGCAGCTTCTTCAGCGCTGGACATTTTTCTCCCAAGATTTCGGCATCTTGTACAAACTGAAGGCCAAGGAAGCACACGTGATTCGTCATCATTGACATCCGAGGATCCTTACATGCTCGTTCTGCACAAAACATTTCAAATTCGTCCAAATTAGGATATTCCACAATATGAAGGATATGAACATGTTTCATATTCTTCAGAGATGATATATCTACAACATTTGAGTGATTCTTTCCGTCCTAGAGGTGGGGAGTTCGAGTGCAGGTCATCAAAAGCGTAAAGACAGAAATTCGTCTGGAGCTTTACCAGCGCCAGTTCCAAAGACGAACATGGAATACCTGTTACAAATAGCATGGCTACTGGCCTACCGATGTACATTCTGATGTTCATCAAATCCAAAAATAAGTCTCTATTTCTTTTACTGTTTCTGCATGTAAAGATTAAGACCTCTTGTACTAAATCTGAAACCAAAGATATCCATAAGGGGCCATCTTGGGCCCAAACACGACAGGGGTTTAAGTCCCTGTTGTGTCGCCACAGTTTTAGTTTGCGAGAAGATTGCAAATTCATGCATGCAAACAGACGCACATGTGTGAGAACCAAGAACACAAATAGCCAAAGGAGAATTTTCTGAGGTTATCTGCACTTGAAAATAAGATTTGACATAGTTCACACTAGCCAAACTAATTTTTGCTAGTTACATTCATGTGAGTGCCACACCGTATCTTGTAAACTGAAAATATGTCTTTACAATAACAATGTGCATAAAATTTGGAAGATAACGGCTAAAATCCCTACACAATAGAGATACGGAAAATCAAGATATTTAAAATCTGGCGTTGTAGGCTCTTGGGTATGAAGCATCTCCTCTTACTAGACTACAGGTCGCAATCGAAGTCAATCCCACACTCACTTAACAAAAGGAAGGTGTTAGAGGAAATTACAAGAAGCTTCTTGTATCTATAGATAACTAATCTATTCCCTTACACATGTCATACTAAACTCGAGTAGCACTCCACTTTGCTTGATGAGCCATGTAGAAGAGGCATATCTTCAATCCAATCAGCATAGATGCGACTCAATTTCTCAAGTTCGTTCCACTCTAAGTTGCACTGCGTACTTTGACCTTGTTTATAAGCAATCGCAATCCCCATCCTATGATTTGATGCATTGTTGCCCCTCGTATAAGCCGTTAAACTGTTAGCCTGCACACTTCCACATTCTGGTGTAGTATAGCCACAAAGCTTCCTTTGTTCTGCAAAATTAACAACAATGCATCTCAAAATTTGTTCTTTTAAAATCATTGCACATCCGTCAATAGTGAGCAATTCTTGAATCATGATCGGTTCTACAGGGTCATCAACTCCTCTCAATTATCATTGGAGACGGCTACAGATGAATTTGTGCCACACTTTGAAATGCCAGGTAAAACTAAATAGAAAAAGACGGTGGTTAAATTGTATGAACGACTAACGCACAACTTTTATAAAAGCATATGAAGAAGTTGCCCCACTTTAATTACAAGCCAAGACAACCAGACAGAGAAAGAAACAATCTCAGTATAAACCTATATACCCAATCTGCAGCAAGACGAAAAAGAAAGTATGATGCCACTATGAAATCATACACATCTAATATCAATTTGAATTAATCAAGTTGGAAAGGATAAGAACTGAGATAAGAACTGAGGAAATTGCAATCAGTGATTCAGCATTATGCAATCTAAATAGCTAGTTCATTAGATGAATGTCCCAGGTGCCTCTTCTAACGTTCAAGTCCTTCAGCAGTCCAACCTATTGGCGTGATTCAATACCTTCTTAACAGAAAAAGCTCTAAAGGTTGAGTGTGGTTTCAGAATTTTCTGATACTGAACCAATTGGGTTTTACTTATGACAACTTTTCTTGTAGTGCAAGTTAAACGAATCTAGAGCACATGAGTAGTCAACCGATACTCTAACAAAGTGTAGACCATCTAAGCATTCATACGATCAACACACACACACATACAAGCAAAAGGAAAAATTAGCAAAGCTATGCAATGCAGGTATCCTATCGAAAATTGTAATTTACATTGAACCTGAAAAAAAATCATTATTTGAACATATTAAACTAAGTAGTGTCAAAATCCATACCCAGAGACTTCTTGCAGTCAAATTGAGCAGAACCACCAGCAGTTGAAATGCTTATGAACGAACTATCTCTGATATTTTCAGGATTGACATGACGAAAGCGGCATTTGTCTCCGTAACTGCATGTTCCCCATCTAAAGAACGACCTGCATATTCTCACTCCATTAGAACTTCCATGATCACCATTCCAAGTCCTCCTGGCCAAGTTTCCCTTCTCAGTTTCCATTCCTTGCGCATCACGCAAAGTCCTGCGGAGATCACTGGTGCCATGAGCAAAGGAACATCTCTGCCCAGAAGAGCAACAACCCATTTGGAATTTACGGCACAGTTGGGTCTTGTAATAGCTAGGCAACATTTTGTTCTGTCCTGAGGCCGCATTCGAGTTCGATACGGTTTCTGAAGTTCTGGGTTTCTTGAAAGCTTGGGAGTTGATGTCAGATTGAGCTTTGATTTCTTTCTCCTCAGTAGGGATTTGATGTTTCCTCTGACGCCTGCTGTCACCGGATTCAAGATATTGAGCAAAAAATTGGGGAGTAGGTAATGGAGTACCCATGTTGGTATGCAACTAGACCAAGTTGCACTCCAACTGTTTGATGAAACGCCAAGAACTCAGAAGAAAATTATGATAGGGAAATGGTTGGAGCTGAAATTTACGAAAAACCCGGATGCTGTATCAGAAGAAATTTGTGAGTGTCAGTGAAGAAATGAGACGCATGTGCTTGAACATTGAAAAAAATTGAAATTACTGCATCAGAATCCAGACGAACAAGAAAACCCATATGAAAATTTGAGAATTTAGTGAGATGAGGAGGTCCCAGAGTGAAGATTTTAAGCAAAATCTCGGATTATGATTCGAGTGAGGAACATTTCGCGCATCAGCTCAGCTAGTTTCTACACTCTGAAGAGTGAGTGGTTGGTTACAGTTTTTACGTTACCATTAATTAAGCCTTCTATACTTTACTTGTTGTAATGAATGAGAATATTTTTAATTCCCACTAATTTCAGTGTTTATATTTGGTGCTTGAAATGATTAGAATGTTGGAGACTTAAAAATTAGAATAGTGGTTTTATTATTGTTTCGTACGAGCTTTAAATAGTTAAGATAGTTAAGTTAATGATATTTTAATCAAATTTAGTAAAATAAGGACTGATTATAACATTTATATGTATTTAATATAATTATTATTTTGACGGTTTGATCTAATAAGATAATATGATCAGAAATACTTGATAAATTTGTTCAACGACTATAAGATCGTTGTGTTTCATTTTTCATGACTTAATGATTGGAAAAATGTGTTTGAGCACGTTCCCATTTTTCGAATTACTAACATAACATACAGGGTGAGCAAATCTCGAGATGGTGGGCACCAGTATGATGCTAGCTAAAGACACTATGACACTCAAGTTAGTAATATTAAAGGAGATAGAGCTATGTACAAGGCTATCATGCGTAGCCTAGGTTTTCTTAATATTTTTTTTTTTTTTTTTTTTTTGACATTTGGATAGAGAAATGATCAGGTATCGTTATGTTGTCGATATATGATAAATATGTCGTCATTATTAAAACTTTATTATTTCTAGAACCAAATGTAGATCATTCCAGCCAATTGCCAAAAAAAAATTGTTGCACTTTCGCTTCCTTCAAGTGTGCATCGCAAAACTCAACCTGGTAGTCCACCCATACGCCTAGTAGTACTAAATCACATGTATTACTCTACTAAAAGACTATAAGCCAAAATCTAGTAGAAGAAAATAAATGCATTCACAATAAGTCTTTGATATCGTTACAATTCAGAGAAATATGAACTCAAAAGGTCGTACCCAGTGCACAAGGCTCCCGCTTTACGCAGGGTCTGGGAGAGGTGAATGTCGGCTAGCCTTACCCCCATTTATGGAGAGGCTGCTCCCAAGTCTCGAACCCGAGACCTACCGCTCATGGACGAAGGCACTTGCCATCGCACCAAGTGCGACCTCTAGAAATATGAACTCAAAACATTAGAAAAATATCCTCTCGCCTTTGAAATGGGACAAGAGCACCAACGAATTTTCGCAACTAAAACTCTATAATGAAAGGAAGTCAAGAGGATATTTTAGTTCGCACCAATGAAGCGGATCACCAACATACAAAATTTGGTGTTAGTTCTGTTAGTTCTCTTCCTCTGTATGTAGATGATCTGCTTCATCGGGAAGAAAAGAAAGGGCACACGAGATACTTGAGGAAATTCTGGCAGAGAAGGAACTTGAATAGTCACGGTGGAATAAATGGTAGGTAAAGCTGCACCACGTCATCAATACTAAGCCAAGTGTTTCATTAAAACTCCCTTCTATAAACCGTAAAACTGAAGGTAGAAACGGAACAAATAAAAGAAAATCAGAATTTTACCAAGAAAGAAAAAGAAAGAAAGAGAGAACAAATTTACTTTATTTTTCAGTACACTGGTAATCAACCAATCGCCTATTGAAGTTTCTTAATCCCAGGAAATGAGGGGAGAACCGCAACGAGAGCATCACCATATCCAACGGGATCTGTTAAGAAAAAGAGATGATTACATGATAACGTGATACCAGTAGCATCAACAAAATCCGGCATGAAAGGAACTAAAGTGTATAAAAACTTACCACCATCTTCTTGTAGTATCCTGATGACCTCCCCAGCTACATCAGACTTCAAAAGAAAAAATGAATAACTCAAAACTATGTTAAGAGATAAAGGACAACAGCTGGGAGGGGAGGAGAAGATCGAACACCCTGCGTCTCTCATCTGGGACATACCTCAATTGGGAGCTCCCCGCCAAGCTGTTCTATGTAGCAATCACTTGTCCCTCCTTCACTATTTGCTTCTGTTGTGTAAAAATGAAGGATAAGTCACTTAAAAGTCTACGCATGTTGTCAATGATATGATAAAGTGAGCATATCGGTTGTAGCCAAGTATTGCCACTGCTGCCTTTAAGCAAGCAGGAAATCAAAATTCCACAATTATTTCCGTCAAAATTAACAAATCAGTGTGAAAAGATTACCTCTTTACATGATGGCGGAGCACGCTTCCCCTTTATGGTTCGAGATCTCCTAAACAACCCCACCTGCACCATTGGTTATTTTAGTATCCAGATTTAATAAAATGATGAAGTGCGTGTAGTTTGGCTTCTTACTCGTGGAGAATGAATTAACACCAAGCCATCATCTGCAGCTCTATCTAGCAATGTCTGGATACTCCTCGAAGACGATTCTTGTCTAGTGATAGCTACAGATTGTGTAGGAACAACACCATTCGAATCAAGTGCTTTAGCATTTTCACTCGCACTAACAGCAGCAGGACTTGGGGGAGGTGGTGTGCAAATTTTTTCAGTCAACTTCCTCACCACATTTAACCGAAATCCACCAATCTGATTATGTGGTTTGAATGTGTGAATTAATAATAAACCGGATGGAAGATCAACAGCAACATCCCATACTAATAGGAAGCATAAAGAAAAAGGAAGAGTGGTTCGGAATGGAAAACTTATTCTTAAGTTGCAAGATTATCTCCAATTCATATAAATTATTAAGTTCAAATAGAGAAAAGGTCTTGCTTACTTTTAATTTGACCTCTGCAACTGTAGTTGTATCACATATTGCTGTGAGCAAAGATTGTACCTACAAACAAGATTAACCAAAGTACAGGTTTAAAACGCCAAAAAGTGGTGACGACATGCATGCGTTTTTGTGAGTAAATGTCAAGACAAAATTCTGTAATTTCATTATAAAGAAAATGAAAGCCACGAATTTTCTTGCATGATTTAGGAGATGAAAAGTTTGTTGGCCTAGCGATGGTTAGAAAATTGCATGGTGGCTCACGAAAGTAAAATTTCAACAGAAGATAATTTTATGAGGGTACTTCACAAGAAACTTAGAAGAAACTAGAGAATCAATATTTCCACAAATATGAAGTTGAAAAAAAAGAGGGTTCACGTGTTAGGATAGTAGTTAGGAAACAAAAAGTAGAGAGGTTTCGTGAAAATATAGGGATATGCAATACCATCCAGGTCCATAATAATCCGACCTAGAACTACATACTTTCAAAGTCTACGAATGAAACTTGTCTTTTCTTTCTCATATTTAAGTACTAGAAAGTAGAAAGCATTATTTTCCGATATACCAATAACTTATTTTCTCCCCTTTTTCCCAAAATCAGTGACGAAGATTAAATGCATGCAACTGGTGGGTTATAGTATCAATAACCTATTTTCTCCCCTTTTTTCAACACAAACTAAAAAAGTAAACTTGTGCATCAAAATGCAACTGTTGGAGAAATCTAACAAGCAAGAAACCTTCGGAGGTTGTATGAGATACAAAGTAAATTTGAAGTGTAGGGATGTGATCTTCACATAGGTGATTATAACAATTTCAGGACAACCTAGAAACAGAGAACTCAGAGGTTTACACGGTGGATCAAAAGGTTCAAGTTTAAAACCGAGATGATACCCAGAGAAGAAGGATTTTACATTTGCTCTTCCCGTTTGTCTTACCATTTGAGACATGGAAAGAATAACAATGAAATAATAATTCTTGGATCATAATTCCTCCCAAGATAAAAATCTAAGAAACAACCATGCCTACATTCAAAACTGCACTATCTATAAAGATCTGTCAATGGGAGATATGGGACATAGAATAAGTGTTGCAAATTATTAGTGAACTGACCTCATCAAAATTTTGAACGAGCTGGTTTGTCGGACCAGAATCTCCACTCTCTTCAGAAACCTCTTCTAAACTTTTAGCAGCTATTACATCATCAACAAAAGCATGGTGTTATGAATAGATTACACATCACAGGAACAGATATTATCATGTTGATACAATACAGTGTAAATATTCTATTCTTTGAGTTTCTACAGGCTCATACTGCAAATATGTCATATTCAGTTAGATATTCATTCCCTAAACTTATCTGTACTAATAAAGTGGCATACTCAGTTACTATGCTAATTGACAGATTCTAAAGTTTCACAGCTCAAGATCAGAGGGAAAAGAAAAAAAAAGAATGATAGGGAAATTATGACGGAACAAAAAATGGAAAGAAAAGATTAAAAAGTCTAACATTTACAAATCGGTCAAACTTACAATATTCGTCGAATGATACACAATACTAAACAAAAACTGCATAAGTTTTGGCCTTGCAAATCCAAGATAATGTCTACCCAAAGTTTTGGTCATAGATTACTGGATATATAAAAATGACCAATATGACTTAATCACATCAACATTGAATTGAAGAATATAATAGGAATACAAGATTCTAAAATCCCATACCGTACCTATAAACATAACTTAAGAACAATGGATTATTTATCTGAAAACCGTTTCGTAAAGTGGATAGAATTGCACTTGTAAATCTATCCAGACTCTCAAATACTCAATTTCCATGTCATTTTCACTTCAGTATGAGCTACCAACACAAATTTTATTAAGCTTAAAAGAAACAGGGATTCTCATGTAACGGCATGTATATATTTATGCACATGCATTGGTTATTGAGAAGTAATTTTTGATTGAATAAACATCAAACAAACTTGATGTTTCAAGTACTGCTGCTAAGCAAATTCCAGATTTGATGTATAACTACTGAGGGATGAAAAGAAAACAATTTACATCAACAAAATGAACTTACACAGGATTTGTAACGATGGAATGCTGTGCTCATGTAATACTTTTTCTGATGACTGTCTTGATATCGATAAACATGAGTACAACTGTGGTTTTCTCCCTGTCCAAGTTCTTACACCATATGACTGTAAAACCCCAACCCGTGCTCTACCGAAGTTCAAGTTCGTAATTTTAGCATTCAATGTCCCTAGGCTACCTGCCACACAAATGATATCACAATTAACTAAAACTATACAGCAATAAGAAGAAAATCCTTCACTTTTATTTATTTTCAATCGGAATGTATCAATGCTTCTCTGTACAGTGAACAAAAAACGAATCACACAAGGAACATACAAGCTTGATATGAGAAATGAAAAATCCCAGTACAAATACAGTATCCAATAAAGACCCTCAAATTAAATTTCAAACAGAATCTGTTCATGCACTGCACTTGTAACATATATGACCCAAGTAAACAGTTCTTCGCCTTTTCTATCGTCCCATATCGTTTACCAATCACCACAAGAAACCAGACCCAATTGAATTCGGAATTAGATTCAAGGGAAAAGTGATTGCAATGTATCAAACAAGCACTAATCACTGTTGCATTAAAATGGCTGTGCCAAAAACTTCCATGGATATAACCAGAAAAATCCCAATCCCCGAATTTCTAACAGCATCCATAGATTATATCACCAAAACCCCACTTCCCCAAAAGCAAAAACAACCAATATAAACATTGAAATCATAAATTTATCAAGGGTTCTGTGTGTGTGCGGAAGAGAGAGAAAGGGAAGAGACAGAGAGACTTACTGGAAGCCATGAAGATGGTGGAGCCTGAAGGGGGCCAGAGAATGAAAGAAGATGGTTAGAAGGTTTCAGAAACCTCACAGAAAAAACCCAGATGAAATGTCAGTGAAAACTCAGCAGAAATCAGAGAGAAGGATGCGGAGAAAGAGAGGGTTGAGACTTCGAGATGAGAGCGAGCCACAGCGACACACGGCCGTTAAGTTCCAAGAAATGACAAATGAAGAGGAGGGACCAGTTGAACCACTATCAAACATACAGCTGGAAACTTGGACTAGTAGCGGCTGGGTCCAACTGGCCCAAGCCCAAACCTTGTTTTTCCTCAACACATTTTGCCTTTTTTTTTTTTTTTTTTTTTTTAATCTCTTGTTTTCAAATGTATGGATATGTTTTTCAACAAACAAAAAAAAAAGTATGGATATGTTTGGTGTGCCAACAAAATGATTTGTTTTTAGTGTTGGTGATTTTTAGTTTAAGTTGGACTCTTTATTCTTCTTTAATCTTCATTTTGATGGACATGTTTACAAGAATGAGATGTGATTTGTGCAAGTGAGAATTTAAGGTTTAATTTTTAGAGATGATTTTATGACATTTTGATTATGTTTCTTGATAATCATTTAATTTATTCAATCACGACTTCCGAATTAAATAGAGTGTGCATAAATTAATTATCATTTGTTTTTTATTTCCAAATATGTTACAAGTTTTGGAAGCCTTAACAAACTTTCAACTACTGCTAATTGGAAAGGTCTTTTACCAATCCAAGGGGCATGGCTACTCTCTCTTTAATTTGTTTAGTTCTTTTTAAGATCTAAAGAAATAAAAAATATATATATATTTTATGGACTAGATTGAATCATTTTGTTCAATATTAATAGGTATGGATTCCTCTTCATTTGTCATTTGTAAGTGGTTCAAATTCAACTCACATGAATGTCAAGTTCAATAGCTAATTATTATGATTGGGTCATTGCATGGATCAACTAATATCCAACCCCGCTTCTCTTTAAATTAGAATATCATTCTATATGAAATACAAAACTTTAAAAGAAATGTAGTGTGAAATTTTTACAAATTATCTTTTTTACTAAAGACTTCTAAACATAGTGAGGATTTGAGATCATAGTTGGGTACTAGCCAGTTACTATCTAAATCATTGATCATCCTATGTGGCCCACTAAATTTACAAAACCTATCAAATGGAACTCTCATCCCAAAATCTTATGATTTTGCTAACCAAACACACCAATTCTTTTCTTTACTAGTATCCAAAGATCCATTTTCTCTCTCATTAAGAACACATATGTCATACTTTACCTACAATCCTTCTCCTTCCTTCTGAAGTCATGGCAGCTCCGCCCCATCCCCCTCATCCCCGAATCCATGACAGTTCTATAACCTCCCCTTCCCGAAGCCATCACAACTTTGCTGCCTCCAAATGCAACATTTGGCGGCCAAAATAGTTGGGTAATACTTGGGTATTAATTGGTGGTACTCAATTTGCTGGCCATCCTAAGTCACCCACTAATTGATAACACTGTCAAACGAAACTCTCATCCCAAACTTATATGATGTTGCTAACTAAACACACCAATTCTTCTCTTTACTATTATCCAAACATCCATCTTCTCTCAAATGCAGAAGAGAGTAATTAAACCATTCTATAATCTCTTTATTAGTATCCAAACATCCATCTTCTAGCTCATTAAGAACACATATATCATACTTTACCCACTGTCCCCCTCCTTCGTTCTAAAGTCATGGTAGCTCCGCTCCTTCCCCCTCCTCCCCAAATCCATTACAGTTTTATTCCTTCCGAAGTCTTAGTGAATACTTCTTCTTTTTAATTTAGCTTCCTTCAAACCCTCATGGATTGACACCTTAGGAGGAAGGGGATTGAGGTTGTTGGTCAAAGTTACGAGTGTCTCATGTCTGTTTGTGTTCTTGGTGAGTGAAAAAGTGGATGTTTGGATGTTGATTGAACACTAGAATTGGTGGGTTTGGTTAACAAGATACTAGGAGTTTGGGTGAGAGTTTCATATGACATGCATTATAAATTTAGTGGGCTACGTATATAAGATGGCCAGTGTTGGGGGACTTTTAGGTTGATGTGGACTTGGACTTTGAGAACGCCATTTTGTCTCCCTTGGTCAGGATTCGTACCAAGTTCGGAACATCTCGAAAAAGTTAGCTTGTCTTAGGAAATACCCTGGTAACATCAATGGCTTGAAGATAGCATTATTGGTCAAGATAATGACTTGCTCCAGTGAAACCTGGTGGAGAAGTTAGAAGATTATCAGTTTAACATGATAGAGAAGGGATTTGCATGGTTGCATGGCATTTTTTGCTGGATAATCTGGGCTTTCCTAGGGTGATAGTAAGACTTCTAATGGCTGGGATGATTAACGGAAGGCTATGGGAATTACTAGGGTTGCATGGATGGTGATGCTTAAGGCTTGAAGTATGCTTATGGACTAAATGGAACTCTCTGGGCTTATTTCCTGGGTGGTTCTTTCTCCCTCTATTCTCTTTATTTCTCTCTCTGTTACCTCCAATCCTATGTTCCTCCTTCTCTAATGGCTTCTCCCTTCTTATGTAAGTGAATGGCTCTTCTTTGGGCTTCAAAGGAATCTCCCTTTGTGGTTTGGTCTTCCCTTTCCTTTCTCCCTAGCCCTTCTATTATTCCCTTTTTGGTGTAAGATAGCTGCACTGTTAAGACTTGCAGTCTGCTTCTTCCTGAGGCGCGGCTTTCCCAGGGCGGCATTTTGCAAGCGCTACTTTTGGTAGCGCGTCTCATACCTTTTGCGCGTTGGTTGTCTGTGCAAGTTGGGATGGGAAAGTTAGCCTTAAAAGCCTGACTTGTTGGGCTTAGCATGCATTTAATGCATGAATCTAGTTTAGTCCTAACTAAGAGGGTTAGCTTGCTAGGGAAATGGGTAAACTAGGCTAGTTCTCTCTCAATGTTGCCTGCGTGAAATGCAAAGGGTATGGGCTGGGATCCTCGAGCCCCCAAGCAACCCAAAGTCTTCCATGACCCTGATTCTATGTAGGCCCAATAACCTTCCATAAACATCCACACCACAATCCACTTGACAAGCCTTGAATATGTGACTTGGGCTTAGCATGAAGTGACTAGCATGAGGAAGCATGGCGTGATGAACAGGCATGAGCATGACGTGAATATTTGGCTTAATCATCGTGACATGCCATGTTTGTAAATATATTCCTCATCGATCCCACGCCTTGGCATGTATTTGGGCTTGAATGTAGGCTTTGCATGGCAATTGGGCCTTGAGACTTGGTTGGATTAGTGTGTGACATTTTTGAGCCCCAACAACAAACGAATTAAGTACTCAACACCCAAGTAATACACAACGATTGGGCCGCCAAATGCACTTAGGTCTCTTCTACATTTGAAGAGATCATAGAATGCTTTAATTACTCTCTACTGCATGCAATTAACTACAAGTTAGTAAACAGTTAGCAACAAATTAAAACTTAGCTAGATTGAGACTTGACTAGCTAAAGTAGTAAACATTTTGAAGTAACATAAAGCTTAACCTAAAGGGAAGACAAGAATCTTGCTGCTTTAAGCATGGATAGTGTCCGGAGCATGAATGTATATATTAATCCACTTTTAATCCACCATATACATATACTTTTGAAAGATACACATGCATCAGGTCAATGATATGGGAATCCAATGTGACCATTTAAGCTAAAGTGTAAGCAGAATTAAATTAAATAGTTATTCACATTATCCAAACTTTGAATTCGTATGCATTTTATCTACGACCCCCTTGTTAATTGATACTCTAACTATGGTTTTCATTCATTAATATTTGGTACATTTTGTTAAAACTCTTGAATTCAAATCTCATGAATTATAATTATGTACTTAATAAAACATTTACATCCCGTTTTAACTTCCAAATAAGAATATGCACGGTTAACAAATACTAAAATAATATGGCTTCAGTGAATGTAACTTGACATTGCACCTTTTAGTTTCAGTTCAAAGCAATATTCGTTCCTTCTATCGTACTTATCAGTTATCAATACATGGTTACTTTAATTCTTTGGGATATCATGAATGTTTAGTGGAATTCATCACTGTTGCCTCAAGCTCCTTTTAAAAGTGAAACTACTCATATATATGTGACCATTTTTTTCTTTTTGCTTAGTTATCTAATTTGAAAATCAAGAGTTCCTAAAGTACTTCATGAAAGGCTGAAAGCAGCCTTATTCATATATCGCAGTATTGATTGGAGAGAAAGCATCCTAAATGAAGTTTGTGCGCATCGATTCTAGTTAAGAAAAAGAACAAGGAATCATATCATTCATTCATTCATTTCAGAAACCAGGAACAGTACAAGAGTTTAAATAAACATTTAAAACAAATGACAGCAATCAAAGAGAAGCACCAAAATTACATTGATATAATTTTGTGGGAAACCCTAGATAACAGAATGCTAGGCATATATGTAAAACCCTAGAACTAGCTAGAAACTCAGAAACAATGACAATCATATATCATCTCTCTTGCTCATTAGAAAATATGCCTGCAAAAACACATAATTAACATCACGAATTAATTAAGTTATAAATGATAATTACTGTTAATTGTGAAGTATCAATGACAGCGTAAATTAAACCTTACCCAAAATTGCATAAGACATGTGTAGCTAGGCTAGTATGAGTCTCTTGGGGCATTGCATCTAAAGCATTCCATTCTGCTAGCAAAGTTGTGCTCGTTGCACCCCAACCTGTGTCCAAATAAATAAATATAAATAAAATCAGCAGTTAATTAAATATTTAAATTTTAGTAAACCCCAAATACATATACTGATTAATAATTAGATGTGAATCGCGAAAATTGAACTCATTTGTTAATTTACTATTGTGCCAATTTCAGTTTTGAATTACCACGGACTTATTTATAATTTTTAATTGAGCGACAAACCCATCGCATTAGAAAACAATATTACAATTTTATGTTGTATTAAAGAAAAGACGAGGGTTTGAAATTTGAACCAGGATACAATAAGAGAGAACATATCCACTTACAACAAAACTTAAACTCTTAACTTCGGGTGTGTGTGAAGCCTTAATGAATGCTTGGTCGTTAAGTTAGGCAAGGAGGGATAGATTCCTAATGTATCTAACTTTAAAAAGCAGTCAAGGAAGGAGGAATATTTTCACCAAGTGCTTTTCTGGTCAGATTTGCAGTAAGTAAGGACAATGCTCGTGTTATTTGAGAGAGAAATTTACTAATCTTTATTTATGATTGACGTATTTTTATCGTTCCACCATCATTGAAAAATTATTTATGCAAAAAATCATTCAATTTGAAAATCGTTTAGTTATCTATACGTATCAAACCAATCAACCATTTTGATAACAAATAATCTTACTTTGTTTTATGGATATGATCACCTAAACTACCTGAATATTTATATATATCTTGACAATGAACCGTGCCCAACACAAAAGAAAAAAATCGACCTAACAAAGACCAATTTTTGTTATTGAATATAACAAATAAACGAACGGAATTATATTATACTATTAACTAATTGTATCACCTGGTACAAATCCAATCTCCAGATTTCCATCCAGGTCGACCACCACCTGCTCCGCCTCCTCCGCCACCACCGCCAAGTCCTAACCCGAAACCCCGGGAGCGTGGCAGGTCAGAGTCAAAGCCACCACCGCCGCTAATGGCAGAATCATCCTTGAAAGCCCCACATTTGAAGCAGCTGGAACGGCTTGCAAAATTGTGGGCTCCACAGTTGCCAGCAGCGCAGTACCAGTCACCAGGCCGAACATCTGAGCCGGTAGTCATGAACCCAAACGAGGATCCTCCTCCTCTTCCGCCGAAGCCCCCGAAATCTACGCCGGACTTGGCATCTCCACAACGTTGGCATGAGTCACGCCTCTGGAAGTTGAGGTGGTGGCATGACCTGCAGTTCCAGTCTCCTGGTCGGCTCATCTTTTGATCTGCATTAATTTAAACAAAATGTATTAGTGCGTGGATGACCTGCAGTTCCGACATATTTATAAAATATGAACTAAAAAATGTTCTCCCTAGGTTATATGAAACTAATTTCAGACAAGCTAGGTTAGCCCAATGATAAGAGTGGATAGGGTGAAAGAGTATCAAAAGTAAACTACTCATACTAAACTGCATGCTCTAAACTTCACGTAATTATTGAAAATGTATAAATTAAGGAAAATGATTTTTGCACTCTTTTTTTGTCTTTCTGCACTTTCCTGCTTGTTTTTATACTTTAATTCAATTCAAAGATCAGAAATAAACAAGAGCGTACATGAAAAAGATAGTGTGGAAATCACTTCCTAAATGAAAACTGAAAAATCAAAAGCCAAGAAAATTAAATGATTCAGAAGTTATAGATAGCTTGTGTAGGGGTTTATACCCTAAGCTAGATAGGTGAAAGGGAACTAGAGAGCTAGCATTCATATGAAGGTGCCATGAAGGGAAATGCATACGTAAAAGATAAAGAAGAAAGAGAGGAGAAAAACTAGAAGAGAAGTAACCTTAAGAAAAATGAAATGTTCTTCACTATCGGATATTTTGGAGGCAAAGTATGGAATGGTGAAGTAATGAGCCATGCAGGGAGTGTGCTTATATACAAGTTTAGCCACAGAAAAAGGGAATAAATGGAGGGCCGTGTACCACTTTTTCGTATTTTTCAATTAGCAACCTTGATAAATGGAATCAGAGAAATATCTAAAGGAAGGAAAAGAGGATGAAAACTCGATAACCCATGATTCCAAAGAGAGGATATTTTGAATTTTGAATGCTTTGGTTACTGGCGTTCCTTTTAGGGTTTTTTAACGTGAGAAATAATGCATGCATATACACACTATCAAGTATCAATTATCAAATGAAAATACTTTTCGTGAGAAATTCTGTCAAAGTAAGCTTGTGACATGCACAACGCGGCGAATGCATATTGGGATTTAGGTGGTCTCAGGATTATTCAGAGTCTAAAAATATACATGTGAAGGTTTATCAATGACCTTTAGAATTTTTGGTACCGATTCTTTTTGTGCCCACAAAGTGTTTGTCAAAATGCCTCTTGTATGTTGCATTGACAACACTCCTCAATTTCTCTCAATAGCACTCATCAGATTGCTTCAGCATATTGTCAATTTGTGTTGACATGTGAGCAGCTTGGTTATGTTGACGACAACAAGCTTGTTAAGTGTTAAGCGATACCTCAGTGAACAAACTGATTTTTTTTTTTTTACGCGCTTCGTGTTACTATTTTAAAAAAAAAAAAAACTTGAACTTTGATTCTAATCTTAGAATTCGCCACGGGACATGCATGTATGTAAAATAAGCACTTGTGCAGTTCTCTAATTTACCCTTAAGCTCACGTGCTTAAATTTAGTGAAAATTCTCACGAAGTTTGTTTGAAAGACCAATGTTCCACAATTGGTCAAATTCAGACACCAATGTTAATGGAGTTTTAACAATAAAGATAGGTAGTATAAAAATGATGTGAACTTGCATATATGAGTTTATTTTAACTCGTTATAAAGACTTGGAAAAGTGATATCTATATATGAAAATTAGGATTAATAATATAACTGAAAGGTTGGTGTTAATTCAATTGGAAGTTATGAGAACATGCAATGTCATGAGCTGCTCCAAATCTGTGTGAATTTGAATACTTATTGTGAAAGAATCTTAGGGCTCATCATTTGAAATTACTTTTAAAATTACTAAAAACGCTTTTAGTAAAAAAATGTTTTTGAGTTTCAAAAACACTTGAAGTGCATTTAGGAGAAATAGTACGTGTTTCTTGCAGGAAACACTTCAATTACTTTTTCATGATTCACTTGTATTTTATTAAAAATTGGTTTCAAAACACTTTCATCAAAAGCGTTTTCAATTATTTTAAATATGCTTCCAAATATGCCCTTAATTGTTACTTCCAATTTACTAAGATACGACATATCAACACGATCATATCCTCACATAGGTATATAATCTTGAAAAACAAGCGTATGTTAAGGAAAAATGAAGCCAGCAAATTAAAAGTCACAAGTTTTCACACAACCGATGATAGTTAGCTAGGTAGCCCGCCATCTTTAAAAAATGTGATGAACTAATACACTACTAAGAAACCATTTATTAGTGTCGTTATGATAATCGACAAGAAATGTATATTACTGTCGGATTTTAAGTAAAATCTGACAAAAAATGGATGCAATGGTGGATATAATAAGCGACAGAACAGCCAGTGTCAGGAAATTAATTTGCTGACAGAAAATACTCTAAAACTGACAGAAATTATGTCGGATATAACCGACAAAAAATAGATTAATAATGAATAAATAAAAGCATTCTCGGTCAGCTAAAACCGACATAACTTGTGTCGGATATAACCGACAAAAAATTTATTAATAATGAATAAATAAAAGCACTCTTGTCAGATAAAAGCGACATAAAATATATTATTAATAAAAAAAATATAAACCACTTTCTGAATCATTTCTTTCCCTTTCAAGTTGAGCCAGAGAGTGAGAGGAGAAAGACAGTTGCTACCTTCCTTCCAACACAACGCAGTTATCAACTTACCATCTTCCTCTTGTTCCTTTTCCTCCAATGACCTTTTCCTTCCTCTTCCATATTCTCACCCACCTTTCCCCTTCCAATTCATTCTTCCACATTCTGTAAATATCCACCCACGCACACACAAAAAGAAGAGAAAGAAGAGAGAAAACAAAGAAGCAGTGGCCACCAACAGCCTCTCCCTTTTCTTCACTCTCTTCTGCATTGTAAGTTCACTCTCCTTCATTTGTTCAAAGCTCCCATCTCCATCAAACTCTCTACAATTCCCAACTTTAATTCTGATCTAGTAGTACGAAGTAGCATTTTTCTACGCATCAATGCTCGGATTAAAAGTCAAATTTTTGTTTTGTATAATCAAATCAAACACCAAAATAATAACCGAGATTAGGGAAACAAACTTACTATTGATTTTTTTTTTTTGTATAATCTAATACCGAATCTACAATCTCCTTCAAAATTCCCCCTTTAAATCTCTATATCAACACCTGAAAACGCCAATACAAACCACAAAAAAGATCAAAATTACACAAAACACAAAAAATTGAATTAAAATTCCATAGAATTGAGAACTGTCACATCCCGGCCAGGGGCGGATCACTTCCCGAGCCCACTCTACTACCGTAGCACGATATTGTCCGCTTTGGGCTTACCATTCCCTCACGGTTTTGTTTTTGGGAACTCACAAGCAACTTCCCAGTGGGTCACCCATCATGGGAGTGCTCTAGCCACCTTCTCGCTTAACTTCCGAGTTCCGACGGAACTCGAAGCCAATAAGCTCCCAAAAGGCCTCGTGCTAGGTAGGGATGGGAATATAAATTTAAGGATCACTCCCCTGGGCGATGTGGGATGTTACAAGAACCGAAGGCGAACAATGGAACCTTAATCGTACATGAAATTTAAAAAATTGGGACGAAATTGGTAAGGTGGAGGCGAATATCTGAAGGATTCGGTGAAATGGAAACCCTAAAAATAACTGAGGCTCACAAAAATTTGTTAGCAAAAAAAACAGTGCAAGGAAGAGATGAAGGGGAGGAGAAAAGGAGAAGGAAATGAGGAGATAAGAGAAGGAGAAGGAAATGAGGAGAGGGGAAAAGGGGGAAGGAAGGGGGAAGGGAGAAGGCTCCAATAGAAGGAACAGATGGAGGAGTTTTATTTTGGAAAATTTGGAAAATTTTCATTACTGTCGGTTAAAACCGATAGAAACATTTTTTAAAATATAAACCGACAGAAAATTTGCATTACTGTCGGTTATAACCGACAAAAAAAATGGCGGCAAAAATCCCCCCAAATTTTCCTCCCAAAAAAAATTTGTTAAAGTTTTAAAAAATAAAATAATAATTGTTTGGTTTAATAAATAAATAAATAATATGTATTTAAATAGAATACATTTTTAAAAATTAAATAAATAATTGCTTGGTTTAATAGATAATAACTCATGTAAAATATGCAATAAAGAAACAAAAAGATAATTGTACAATGAAAATGTCATCACACAAACTAAATATTGTCTAATCAATACTTGAAAAACATAAATAAAAATTTAGCACAAATTACTTTTCCCACTTCAAAATTGAGGCAAATTTAATGGAGATATGCATTCTACGAAACTAGTTTCAATGATCTAACCATCAAACTTGTTTGTAGATACTACAAGATCGCATACGAAAAAAATCACAAAAAAAAAACATTTAGAGATTAGGTAGCGGAACAAAAGTTTTTGACGGTTATAAACGAAAAATCACAATTTAACAGTTATTTTAGCTTCGGTTTTGATGATTTTTTTACAGTTACACTCCTCGACCTTATAAGAATGCAATGAATGATTTCGATCTTCAATTTAAAATATTTACACTAGTGGATACCACAAAATCTTATTTTATACTTAATGGAAGTATAAGCTTAAGTGTTTGTTTAATCTACCATTTTGACGCGATATGCATTTTACGAAACTTTTTTCAACAATCCAACCGTCAAACTTATTTGTACACACTTTGAGATTGCATACTTAAAAAATGGTAAAAAACAAACATTCAGAGATTACGTAACTGAACAAAAGTTTTCGACGGTTATAAACAAAAAAATCACAATTTAACGGTTATTTTAGCTCCGATTTTGATGATTTTTTTACAGTTACACTCCTCAACCCTATAAGAATGCATTGAACGAATTCAATCTTCAATTTAAAATATTTACACTAGTGGATACCACAAAATCTTATTTTATACTTGATGGGGAAGTATAACATTAACTCTTAGTGTTTGTTTAATCTGTCGTTTTGATACAATACGCATTCTACGAAACATTTTTCAATGATCCAACTGTCAAACTTTTTTGCACACACTCGAGATCGTATACGTAAAAATCGCAAAAAACAAACATTCAGAAATTAGGTAATGGAACAAAAGTTTTCCATGGTTATCAACAAAAATCACAATTTAACGGTTATTTTAACTCCGATTTTGATGATTTTTTACAGCTACACTCCTCGACCCTATAAGAATGCAATGAATGAATTCGATCTTCAATTTAAAATCTTTACACCAGTGGATAAATCTTATTTTATACTTAATGGAAGTATAACATTAACTCTTAAGTATTTGTTAAATCTATCAATTTGATAGGATATGCATTCTACGAAACTAGTTTCAACGATCCAACCGTCAAATATGGATGTATATACTCCGATATAGCATGTGTAAAAAATCGCAAAAAAAAAAAATAATTAGAGATTAGGTAATGAGACCATGAGTGAAAAAAAAACATTTAGAGATTATTCTGGTGGCCACACTAACTATCCGCCAGAAATTTATGTTGGATATAATCGACATGATTTCATTGTTATCCGACACTAATCGAATGATGTGTCGGATATCTTTTATCCGACATAATGGTTTATTAAACCACTACCATCATCCGACACCTAAAGCTAATATTATGGTAGTGGCATACTACAATGTTTAATAGTAGGACACATCCGCTAAACTAAGAAAAAAGTGTTTGAACTAGGGGAATGGCATAGGTACACCATGGCGTCCTGTGCCAATT